ACTTAAAAATTTCTTAACCATTTAATCAGGAATAATAATTTCTGCCCAGAAGTAAGTTGTAAGTTTCATCACACAAAGAAGTTCTGCCCCAGACAATTATTTTCACCAACAAATCTGCCATCATTTTATTAGTTTTGTTTATTACTAATCTTTGCTTTTTAACTTTTTTTTTTTTTTCCGTCTTTTATTGTGAATTATATGTTATTTTACATGGGAGAAGTTTAGTTTTACATTCATTCCACCATACATCGTTTCATTGCCATGGTTCCAATCCCCTCCAGGCATCATCAGTTGACCAAAGGGTATACCCTATAAACCTGCCCCCTACACTCCCCCCACCCCCCAATTCTTCAGCACACAGTCCCTCTCCCTCTCTGGATCCAAAGTCCCCAGCCACTTCATCACTGCACGTCATCGTCTCTGCCTCCATTCTCGGGCCTCGCTGCTTCTCTGGGTAGGGTCCCGCTCTCGGCTCTTCTCCGTTGATGGTCCCAGAGACCTCTGCTCCTAGACTGGAGAAATAATCACTCCCTTCCTTGCTACAAAACATCTACCTTCACATTTCCAACCCTCACAATCAGTCCTGATAACAGTCATTCACTATTGTATCACAAGTGACCCTTCTGCATTTCATTTCATCAGCTCTGCCTAGACAGATTGCATAGTACTCACTGGAGATTCTGCCTTCCTCCATGCCCCCTAGCTCTAGGTTCCTTCTTGAAAGCTTGTAAGCCAGTCACTTCTTGCCTTTGTAGTCCCCCCATCCCCCCATTTGGGTATCCAATGTCCAAGTTGCCCATTTCTGTCTAATCTGTGTGTGGAGGGGTGGGAATGTTTCTTGCTGTGAGGGTTTGTTCCCTCTTTTGGGTTACTGCATCCATAGGTGTAGATCAAGTTCATCAAATTGTCTCAGATCACTCTTTTTTTTTTTTCCTCTTCTTTCTTCTCCTGGTTAAGTTTTGATCATCCATTCATCGGGGCCAGATCACGTGGGTACCATCTGCAGGTGTGGATGTTCTTGTGCATATACCCTCTCTTCCTATTAGCTGGTAGCTTCACTCTCCACTCTAGTCCTCTGTGGCCACGTCGCTGACTCTGTGCCCAAGAGTCCCCAGGTCTCCCCACACTGCTGGCCAACCAGGTCCCCATCTGGACGTTGTAGGGCTTAGCTTGCCGCTTCCTTGCTGCTTTTACCCCACTTCTCCTTATCAGCGATGTGTGTGGTCACCAATCAGAGCACGTATTTCTGTTGAGTCTTAGCCTTGGAAGGGGGTTTGCATTAAGGGGACCCGACCACTTGTCTTGATGTTTCCTGGGCAAGCAATTTGTTTGTTCTTGTAGTAACAGTCCATCTGCCTCTATTGTTTTATATGTTTCCTGTAGGTCTTTCTTTCAAGAAGTATCTTCTGTTCTTCTAGCCACTCCAGGCTGGTTTGCTCGTCCTTTTAAGTGGGAGTTTCCCATATCTGGAGATCTGGATGTGGTTCAGGCTTCTACCTGTAGTCTTATGTATTGCAGAGGCTCTGCAGGAAGCCTCATTCCCATTTTAGGTATTCCAATCAGTTACAGGCAGAAGACGGACTTACAAGCTTTCTATGGCAATGTTTCTGACTATTCCTTTCTCTCCCCCTCCGGTGTCTATTTTATATTATAATGCAAGGAAAACCAAGATTCAAAAGACTGCCGGAAAAAAAAAAAAAAGACTGCCGAGCATCTTAACATTATCACCCCCTTTTCCCCATTCCATCCATGAGACAATCTCTGTATCCCAGAGCCCTATAGTTCCAAGGTTGTGTATACATCATTATCTCTGTCCCACTTAGCCCATTCAAACATGCCCAATTGTTCTCCCATCTGCTCCGTTCTTCCATTTCCCTCTCCCTCCTTGTACATTGCCCCCCTCCCCAGCACCCAAACTTTCCTGTGTCAAAT